AAATTTGATATAAAATAAAAAGCATATGAGGTTGTCTAGATAATAATCTTACCTTTAAATTTTATAAGAGGTCAGTTCACTCTAATTTTTAAGTTAACGGAGYTACACGTGTTCTGCTGAGCGAAAAATGTACCATGTTACGCATTTGTAAGACGGAGACAACACATGCGGGTATCACGTCCTCTTAATACGCAATGCTGTGTCTCGATAACATCGTCGTCCCTGTGCTGGTGGTAATCCAGCAATGTACTGGTTGATTTTGAATTCATTTAGGCTCTGCTGATTTTGCAGACCCTCAATAAATTTCCAAATAGATGGATGATTTGCTCCTAAAAGAGAGCTGAATCCTCGATGCCAGCCTTCAACGGCGTTGTTAGTTTCGGGTAGGTCATTCAACGATGCCTCGTAACAGTCGTAACAATTCCAGAGGCTCAGCTTAAATTTAGGAAGCATTCTTCCAAGGCCGGTTCGTCGGGGCTTTCCAATCCACGTGGACTCAAAATAATCTACCAAATCTGACATCAGGTCTTCGTTATCCGTATAAAATTTTGTCCGGAGGAGTCTTTCAAAACAATCAACTACGTCGGGCTCTTAAACAAATGCAAGAGCGGCTAACTTTCGCACGTTCAATGCAAAATCCGGATCATCCTTATCCTCGTATTTGGATCGAATGTCAGCGATTGTCTGAATTTTTCTCCAAATGCATTGATTGAAGTGAAAAAAACAACCTCTGTTCCTGATGTCTGGAAAATTATGGGGAAAAGCGTTTATCTGGGCATTTTCAAAATCAGTCATAACACTGACTGCAGGAGACAGTCCTGGTTTAAGCAGCTTCAGTTGATCAAATACACGCGAATACGYATCTTGACATTTATCCGGCAACAGCGCGTAAATCGTTGGCAGAACCATTGATTATAAATACTAGTATTTATAATCAATGGCAGAACGTTATTATACTTAATCGCGTGTATTGTAAAAACTTGCTTAAACAATGGTGGTGACGTTTTAAATGTACCATCAGCGTACCAATGGTCACATGTTGCCATCAGATCCAAATTCTTTCGAGTGCTAAACATAATAATTCTATTATCTGAAGCACCGCTGTCGAATTGAAGAAATTTATCTCCAGCCACCGTATAAGTGTATTTGTCGGGAATCAGTAAATCACGCATGTTAGTGGGGTAAGACATAGCTCCCGCTGCCTTTTGTCTTGCTTTAAGGATATTTCGTTTTATCCCGGCGACTGGTGAGAGAATTCCAGCTACTGCCGCTGGGAGACTCGACGTAACAGAGGCTAAAATTTGCTGTGGTGTATCCATCACCGTTTCAGCTTTTTGTTTAATTGAGGCCATACATCCTTGACTCGGATTTCAGCCACATCTGGGACATGGTTATGCTTCTCATTTTCATAAATACCCAGATAAACGCTTTTTCCCATAATTTTCCGTAGATACCGTCGGCGTCGATGCTATCGGCGTAGATACCGTCGGCGTAGATACCGTCGGCGTTGATACCGTCGGCGTAAAGACATGGTACCACCTATTTACAATAAATAAATGAAAAAATATATATGGATAATTGTATTACCTGTAATAGCTATAACTAGCTTTTTTACAGTATCTTTTATTATTTAATAATATTTATGTAAATATATTGGTACTTAATTTAACATGATTTTTTTAGTTATTACACAGATTAAATATAATTAATAAATAAATATAAATAAAACAAATATTAAGAACATATATTATATTATTAATTTATTATTATTATTAAATACTTTTATTTGTGAGTCTCCCTCTCCAGAACTCCAAAACTATATAATTTCTTCTTCTTTGAAGTGCTTTGAACAAACAAATGAATTTGTGCTTAGTTCAATATCCCTTTTTGGTATAGCTTTTTTACATTTATCAAAATCTGGTTTTTTTGTAGGAGCTTAAACATTGAAACCTAATATAATAAATTATATTATAAAACTGTAAAGCATATGTAACCAGTGCTTAAATTGGGGAGGTTGAAGTCTTCTCTTTTAATAATATTTGAACATAGGTACCCCTTTAATTATATTCTAGTCAATAAGGTAGGTAGGTAGGTATATAATTAGGTATCTGCAGTTACATACAATTCTTATAATTTTTGCACCACTGTACATTTTTTTTTTAAATTTAACCATTGGATGTATCCAATAATTATCATTTCAAAATGTATATTATGATTATATTT